GAATATTTTGAAATATATAGTTTAAAAATTTTGAAAAATTTTTTGATGTTACTATAGTTAAAATTATTAAAAAAACTTATAGCAGACAAACTTTGCCCGAAACTTATTTGTTAAACAAGGCTAAAATAAAGATTTTGTTAAATTAATGGACGAAAAAAAGAAGGTTCAACGCATTTCCTTACTAGTTACTAATCCAGCTAGTTGCTCCTTTCTTTTATTTTGTCCTTTTTGGTGCTCTCGTGGGGACTAATTTCTCAAAACATATTAAAAAAAAAACAATCCGTAGCTCTGACAGGGTTCTCAAACTATACTTGTCGTACTGATTGTGTACGACAGCGGCTCTAATTTTTTTCTTTTTAATTTGCCTGTCCCCTACTGTGCCCAGTTAGCACGGTAGGGAGACAGGCGGTCAAAAAAAAAAAAAAAAAAAAGCCAAGCCTGTGGTAGTTGCAAACTTGCAATACGTTGCGTTGTTATGCAGTTAGTTGCTGTAACTACTAGTGCGGGCTAATTTCTTAGAATATATGTAAAAAAAAAAAACATCGCATAAATATATCTCTGACAGCGGGGATTTCTCATTCTATACCTGAGCACGGCAGCAAGAATGAATTTTGCAGACCTGTCTGACAAATGCTGAATTTCTGGTGTCAACCGTGTGCACGGCTGCCTGACAGCAGAAATTCAACAGGTGTCAAGGAGTGTCAGCAGCAGCCGTGCTGACTGCCGTGCACAGTCAGCACGGCTACGGCTGGCACTGCCTGACGACTCCAGCCCCTGTCGGGTGACTTTGGGAAAGCTTTTAAACGTATTTTGATTTTATAGCATGGCATGGAGAAAGAGCTCTTTTATAGCAACAGGTGGCTGCTACTCGTGCAAGTCAAAAGTGTGTAATGAAGATGAGGATGGATTTACAGTAAAGAGTAGATCCATCTTTCCCATGCGGAATGCATACCGGTGTTACGGAAGGCTATTTTCATTTTTCATTTAAAAAATAAATCAAGAAAGAAAAGGGGATTAAATGCTAGGTTTAGACATCCAAACTTCCCCCCCCCTTCTCCAGACATCCAAAGGAAGGTTGTTAAAAAAAAAAAAGACTGGATAGTGAAGAGGTGATTTCCGTCCTGCTGGAGCAAGTCTTCCGAACTGGAGAAGCGTCTTTATCCGTGACTGCTCCTAGGACGAGGTCACCTGCTTGGATTGCCGGAAAGGCTGAATCCCCCCGTGTAACTCCGAAACTTAAGTTAGTTCGCTTTGAAAGAAGCAATAAGGTAGAAGATGAATTTAGTAAAGTTTTACCAGAAATTGGTCATCCCCTTCCTCAATGGAGGTGTTGGGTATTTATAGGGTACAATTGGGAGAGAGGAACTGTCAACACAGGTTCTCAGAGATTCGACAAGGACATCGTATCAGGTTGATCTGACTGGTCAGTGTGGGAAGCTGCATAAGGGCAGTGGTCAGATACGGACGGCAGGTGTCAGAGCAGCTTTTTATCATTCCAATGACCTGTGTCAGACGCCCTTTCCCGCCTTCAGTAGTTGTTTATTATTCTGGTGTCACCTCGGCGTATGACCCGAAGTTCTTAGTCGAAGTGGTAAAATAGATTGCATTCGTGTTGGTATTCATCGTGCTGATGTGGGGCTTCAGGAGACCGCACAGGATAGGGCCTCGGACTGGCCGAGCCGAAATGGCCACCCTCACTAAGCCCCCCAAGCTTCGAGAAGAGCGAGGTCATGGTTTCCCGAGATCGTCACTTCCCGAGGCTAACGAGCGTGTAGAGCACGGAACATAGCGGGGACACGTCACGACTGTGCAGATGGGACTAGGAGAGAGGTGAAAACGGGGGTTATTAGCTTTAACGTCGGATCAGTAAGATCGAGTGTCAGATGAACAGCACCTTCATTAATGAGGAGAGAGAGAGAGAGGAAGCTTTAGGGAATCCCAAAGGTCGCGCCTCTTCGATTTTCCCTTGTTACCTATAAATAGGGGCCTCTTTTCACCGTTTCATTTTTTATCAAAATTTGAAATCACTTCGGCGATCCTACTAGACCACATCTTCTTCTTCAGTAATTCCTCCAACCCACATCTTCTAAGTTCACTTCTTTTCCTGTACTAATGGCTAGAACAGCTCGTACACACAAAGAAACAGTAAGACCCGACTTCACCGAGACAGAGAGGCCCGACCCATCCGAAGAGAGAACAGCGACCGAAGTCGAGGAAGGATGTGCCGAGGCGTCTCACTGAGCCGAGGGTTTACATCAGGCAGAGACGTCTCATCGAGCCAGGACTCCGGAGGAACAGCCCGAGGAAATCGATGTCGAACCCGAGGTCCTGTACGATGACGACCTCGAGAATGAGGTCCCGAGGGACGAGAGTGTTCAAGAACCTTCCACTCCTTCGAACGTGGCAACGCTCAACTACGGCCAGATGCTGAGTTTCAGCAGTACCATGGGGCAAGCCTCCGTAGCCGAGGTGGTCCGTAAGTACCCCTGGAGGAAGGATTACAGCATTTATGTACCCCAACCACAACAGTCAGCCGCCCTGCCACCGAAGGATAGGGTGGCTGTCTATGTAGACCAACTGGAGGCCGGGCTCAGAGTGCCAACAACGAGATTTCTTCGTGACTGCCTTAGATATTGGGGGGTGAGAATCACTCAACTCACCCCTAACGCGATTCGCGTTCTTGTCGGCTTCCGGTTGCTCTGCCGACATCAGAAGATATAGTCTACAATCAACCTCTTCCGCCACTGTTACTCGCTTAAGAACAGCGGGAGTGAGAAAGGCTGGTTCTACTTCGAAATTAAGGTTCCGAATTTGGTGTATGATGCCCCGAGCTCAATAAAGGAGTGGAAAATGAACTTCATTTTCGTCCCGGCCGAGGACTTTCCTCGGAGGTTCTGGTGGAGGCCTCCTACCTCGGTAAAAGAAACCTCCCCGGGCAAGTTGGAGGAACACAACCTCAAGAAGCTACTGGGGTCGGGTCTCAAGATTAATTGTTGGGACTTCCCCGAGAGGGTGCTCGTGGAAGGCGGGTTCAGTCGAGCCTTAATCAGCTCGGATCATTCCATCTTATTCTCTTCTAAGCTCCAGAGACCTTGTACTTTTCCATTTCCCTCCTTTGTTTATCCTTCTTGAATTCTAACTAACTTTGTTTCATTCTTTGCAGTGGTGAAGGTTTCTGACCTGATCACTTCGGGAGGGGCCGAAGTGGTGAAGAGGGCACCTAAGAAACGCAAGGATACCGCTGAGCCCTCCACCAGACCGGCTAAGAAAATCACCACGGCAACGGGCGACCGGGGAGCCCGCCGTAGTGATCATAGGCGAGGGCTCACACACCTCGGGCGCGTGAGGGAAGTCCAAATCTTCTGTCATTCCTGTGGGAGTTCCTTCCCGTGGAGTGACTATAGCCTCTCCACCTCGGGGTCGAGCGGCAGCCATCACCCCGGAGAACCCCGTCACGGGGTCTTCATTGTTCAATCTCCACCATGTGTCTTCTGTAGCGGCCGGGGAGGACAAGAGGCACTCCTGCGCACAGTACTGTCCGGAGTGGGATATAAACGTAAGCGATCGATGTAAAGGTCCCCGAGTCGCACACGAGCTCCTGGTGCATTCGGTCCTACCCCGGGACAATACTTACACCAGGAAACTCTCTCCTGCCGAGCTGATGTAGAGCGCCTCGGTTTCCTGGGTTTCAACCATTGCGTTCTTGGCTGAAATGCATCAACGCTTCGGGCACTTCATACAGACGTATGAATCACCTGCTGAGCTCCAGAAGAAGATCGCCGATCTGGAAGAGAGGCTGAGGACCACTGAGCTGGAGCGAGACAAGGCTGAGCTTGCGAAGAAGAAGGCCGAAATCGCAAACAACTCCCTGATCACTGCCCTCGACGAGGAGAGAGGAAGACGAGCTCAAGAAGAACAGTCGGCCAAGGAAGCTATAGACAAGGCCGGGTCACTGCTGTAGAGGCCTTCCGGAAATCAGAGGCTTTCACCCACGACCTCGGCGAGCTTACCCTACCGAGCTACATGTTCGGCTACACGTCGACTGTCCACGATGCGACGACCTTTCTCTCTTCTGAGCAGCTGGAGTCCCTTCAGAACGCTCCTCATTACAACGAAAATGCCAAGGAATTGTGCGACCGCATGGCCGAGGGCATCCAGGCTGAAAAGGACCTAGACGAGGTCCGAACTGAGTTCAACAAGTGGCTCCAGGAGTTCGAATTAGATGGCGAGGGCAGTAAAGGGAACCAGGCCGGCGGGGGAGCTGAAGGGCAACAAGACGCCGAGGCGGAATGTGAGACCATGGGAGGTCAGCAAGGCGCCGAGGCGGGGGGTGAAACCATGGGAGATCAAGACCTTGGAGCAGGTAGTGCTTAGAAGCACTTGCTTTGTAATAGAGGGCCGAGGTCGTAGATAACCTCGGCCTTTTACCTTTCGCACTTCAATAAAGTTGACTTTTTGTTCTAGCACATTTTTGCCTTCTTTTTGATTGAGTTCAGTTTTCTTCTCTTGACTACTGCTTTGTCCCCTTATTTTTCACTTGTAATGGAATGAGACTAAGTGAGAAATAACTTAAAACTTAAGATTGAAAGTACGTACCCTTCAAGGGTAATACAATTTGAGATTTTCGGCATGCCAAATTCGGGGCACCCGAGACCCATCTCGGTATGCCAATTTACAATATCCATTTTGGCTGAACTCGACAACACGGTATGGTCCCTCCCACTTGGGATTTAATTTTCCCTGAGGTTCAGCTCGGCTGACTGAGTTCTTCCGGAGAACAATGTCTCCCGGATTGAATCGCAAATGCTTGACCCGGGTATTGTAGTAGTCAGCTAAGATATTTTTATAAATGACGACCTTGGCTGCTGCCATATCGCGCTTCTCTTCGGCAAGGTCGATGTCAACTCGTCGTTCCTCTTCGTTGACCTCGGCAGTGTACGCAGCCATTCGCGGGTTGGGAGTGATGAATTCGGCTGGGACGACAGCCTCGGACCCATAAGTTAGGGAAAACGGGGTCTCTTGGGTTGCTGATCTCGGCGTAGTCCGGTAGGACCACAGCACGCTGGGGAGCTCTTCCATCCATGACGATCTAGCCCGGTGGAGCCTGGTCTTGAGGCTATGAAGGAGAGTTCGGTTAAAGTTTTCAACTTGTCCATTTGCCTGAGGGTGTCCAATCGATGTGAAATGCTGCTTAATCCCCAAGTTTTCACACCATGCATTGAAAGGATTATCCGCGAACTGCCGCCATTATCCGAGATGACCACCCGGGGCAAGGCGAAGCGACAGACCACACTCTTCCAAAAGAATTTTTGAACAGCAGCCCCGATGATGCTTCTCAAAGGCTCGGCCTCAATCCATTTGGTGAAATAGCCCACGGCCACCACCACGTAGGCATAATTACCTGGAACCCTGGGGAATGGGCCGATGATATCAGTTCCCCACTGCTCGAAGGGCCATGACGAGGTGATAGGGATCATGAGGTTGGTCGGCTGGTGGTACTCAGGGCGTGGTACTGACAAGAAGGGCAGCTAACGACCATGACCTGGGCATCTACCCTCATGATGGGCCAGAAATACCCAAGTAATAAGGCTTTCTTAACGAGCATGCTGTTAGGACTGTCAACGGTCCGGGTCTGGACCTGGACCCGGCCCGGACCCGCCAATAATTGCCGGGTACGGGTAGGCATATAGTTCCGGAACCCGGACCCGGACCCGTTTAACCTAATAGATTTGCGGGTAGGATACGGAATATGCCGTTCCGACCCGTATAGGACCCGAACCCGAACCCGTTTTTTAATTAATTAATAATTAAAAATATATACCCAATTTAGTTCAACCCTAAATCCCTAATAGTCTAATACCCACGTAACCCACCGCCGCCGCACTCTCTTTTCCTTTGCTCCTTACCCAGCCCCAGCGACCATTTTTCTCCTCTGCCTCCCAACTCCTGAGTCGCGCCTCCACCACCACCACTCACCAGATCTGCAATTTTTCAGGAAATTGACTGAAGTTTGAGTCTAACCGAAAAGGAGTTCCTGGAGTTTGAGTCTTCGCCTCCTCGCCGTCTTCAGTCTTCCTGGAGTTCCTGCTCGGCTGCCGCCGCTGCTTTTGCCGACTGCTCGGCTTCTCAGTCAACTACTCCAGTCTTTGGCGTCTTCGGTCTTCCTGCTTGGCTGCTCTTGCGGACTTGCCGATTTGCCGTCGGTGCTCAGCACGAAGTTCTATCTTAACAAGTAAACTTGATCCCTTCGGCCCTCTGTTTATATGTATCATCAAGAATAAAAGCTGGCAATCTTCAATTTGGCAAAGCTATTGTCTTAGACTTGGAGAAGAGAGCACTTTTTAAATAATTTCTGCGCCCTTTATTTTGCTGATTTGCAATTTATTGGCAGTCATTATCAAGCCCACCACAAGATTAGTAACACAATTGTATTGATCAAGCTTTCTTCTTCACTCTTTGCATCAACATTTACCCAAAAAATGGTGCCATTAATTTCTTTTTCGGCCCTCTGTATATATGTCTCATCAATTTCTTTTTTTTTTAAATTTTGTTAGTATATTTCTGATCTTGCTGTACTTATTTTTTTGGATTTTTTGAAATTTTTAAATACTACCCAAAAAATAAGTTGCCAGATTATCTTGACGGGAAAATGTTGGAATTTATGGAGGAAAATAGCGGTGGAATTTTTATTAGTTGGGTAGTTTTGTTCTCTGTCTGATTGGCCGGGTAGACCCGGCCCGGATTCGGGACCCGTCGGGTACAGGTCCGGTGACAGATTAGAAGACCCGTCGGGTATTCGGGTCAAATCCGGAACTAATCTAGTATAACGGGTCCGGGTCCGGATATATACATTCCGGCCCGGACCCGGCCCGTTGACAGGCCTACATCCTGTAGCCGACATGAGCACCACAGAGTTCCTCGTCTATGTCTTGTCGGATCCTTTCGCCTTCTTCCGACTTAATGCACCGCAGCCAGGGGTCGAGGTAAGACATCTTGTACAAGAGGTCTTGTCGAAAGGTGTACCGAGCTGCTTTACGTTAAAGCTTCCTTAATTCTAATCTGTCCTCGGGAAGTTCACCTCGGCTGAGAAAGCGAACTAGCGGCCCCATCCAAGTGTCCCCAGAGTAAACGAGGTATACTACTTCTCCTTCGTACCCCGGCTCGGCTAGGACCTTTACGAAAACCGTCTTGTTCAGGTCAGAAAATGAAATAGAAGCGAGCCGGGAGAGGGCATCAGCTCTCCTGTTCTATGACCGCGGTATCCTTTGAATTTCAAAAGACTCAAAGTGTGCCACCAGGTGGAGGACCTTGGAGAGGTAGCGATGCATCACCTCCTCCCTGGCCTCGTATTCGCCTAGTATTTGACACACAATGAGTTGAGAGTTACTATAAACCAAGATATGCGCGGCCCCGAACTTACGAGCTAGCTGCAGGCCGGCAATGACAGCCTCGTATTCGGCTTCATTATTAGAGGCGGCGAAATCGAATCTCAAGGCGTATGAGCACTCCGTTCCCTGGGGGTCTTCGAGGAGTAAGCCTGCTCCACTACCTTCACTATTGGACGAACCGTCCACATGCAAAGTCCAGCGTTGATGTTTGGCGGTGGACGAGGTCGTAATCTGGGTAGTAGCCGGGATGGCTTCGTTCGCCGCATCAAAAATGAGTTCGGCTAGGAAGTCCACGAGGGCCTGAGTTTTGATTGCCGTGCGAGGCTCGTAAGATAAATCGTACTCCCCCATCTCGATGGCCCACTTGGTAAGGCCTCCGGAAGCTTCCGAACGTGATAGAACTTGTCTGAGGGGCTGGTCAGTTCTCAAACAAACGTGGTGAGCCAAGAATTAGGGCTTGGGCCGGCGGGCTGCGTGGATCAAGGCCAGCACGAGCTTCTCTGCCTGAGTATATCTGGTCTCCGGACCTCTGAGAACTCGGCTGACGTAGTAGATCGGAACTTGTACAACTTCTTCCCGGACCAGCACGGCGCTAACAGTCTCGACCGCGACAGACAGGTATAAAAACAACTTATCCCCTGGCTGAGGTGAGGTGTGTGTCGAGAGGTGGTGAAGGTACTCCTTCAATTGCTCGAAGGCCTGCTGACATTCCTCGGTCCAAGAGAAACTGTCAGCCTTCTTCAACACCTTGAAAAAGGGTAACGCCTTGGAAGCTGATTGCGATAGGAATCGGTTCAGGGCGGCTAACCGCCCTGTTAGCTTCTGCACGTCGCGGACACACCGAGATGGAGACATTTCTTGAATCGCTCTCACCTTATCCGGATTTGCTTCGATGCCTCGCCTCGAGACGAGGTATCCCAAAAATTTCCTCAAAGTGACCCCGAAGACACATTTCTTGAGGTTCAGCATCATCCGCGTCTTCCGGAGGACATCAAAGAACTCTCAGGTCAGAGAGGAAGGAAGAGGTCGTCTGGCTCTTGAGTAAAATGTCATCCACGTAGGTTTCGATATTTCGTCCGATCTGGGATTGAAAGGCTTGGTTGACCAAGCGTTGATACGTGGCCCCGGCATTCTTTAGCCCAAAGGGCATGGTGGTATAACAATATGTTTTTCGGTCAGTGTAGAAGGCCGTCTTTTCTTGATCTTTCTGACTCATTCCAATTTGGTGGAACCCCTTGAAGGCGTCGAGAAAGCAGAGGATCTCATAACCCATTGCCGAATCCACGAGGGTGTCGACTTTGGGTAAGGGGTAGCAGTCCTTGGGACAGGCCTTGTTGAGGTCGGTGAAGTCGACGCACATTCTCCAAGCCCCGGTGTCTTTCTTTACCATAACCGGGTTGGACAATCAGGTCGGATACTGGACCTCCCGAATGATTTTCGCAGGGAGGAGTTTGTCCACTTCTTCACTAACAGCTCGGCTGCGCTCAGGGCCGAGGTGCCTTCTTTTCTGTTTGACCGGGCGGACTTGGGGGTCGACGTTCAACTCATGTATCATGAGGTGATGTGGAACTCCTTGAACCTCTTCTGCGGCCCAAGCGAAGACGTCCCGGTATTCTCTGAGAAGATCCACCATACCTCTTTTAATCGGGCTTGGCAATCGGGTGCCAACACGAACCGTCTGATCAGGATTCGTGGGGTCCAAAGGGAGTTCTTCCACCTCATCCCCAGTCTCCAGCCTCGGGATCTTCTCAACTTGTTGAGGATCAATGTTATCTATCGAGAGAATATTTGACCTCTTCTCGAGCCTCGCTCCGGAGGCTGACGTTGAGGCCGCTTGTAGAGTGGCGAGGTAACACTCTCGGGCGGCGCAGACGTCGCTGATCATCTCGGCCACCCCCGCAGGAGTAGGAAACTTAAATCTTAGGTAGTAGGTAGAGTATACTGCCCGCAAAACATTAAGCGTAGGCCGACCTAAGAGTAGATTGTACAGAGAGTCGGCCTTAACCATTACGAAATTGACGGGGATAGTCCTGCAGCAGGGGTGGCGCCCTACGGTCACTGTCAGAGTCACCATCCCCTCATGATGCATAATGTATCCCCCGAACCCTACGAGATGAGTTCTCACCGGGGTCATGTGCCCCCTTGCCAGTTTAAGGCTCTCAAAGGTGCGGAGATACATGACATCCATCGAACTCCCTGGGTCGATGTAGACCTTCTTCACAATGTAGTTGTTGGTGAGCACCTCAATCACCAAAACTTCATGACTACTAGAAGCAGTTGGAACAGGATCGCTGGGCCCGTAGGAAATCACCTCGAATAGGCGGACGCTAGACTCGGCCTGATCCGGGTTAGCTTGCCTGTAAGTACTCTTTCGGGAGTTTTGACTATCCCCTCCCGTCGGATCTCCAGCAATGGTGTTGATGATTCCGGCAATGTTGGGCCCATATCCTAACCCTTGACCCGAAGACCCATCTCGGGGAGGCCTCTTTGTCTCCCTAGGATCCTCAGGGGGTCTGCAGCTGCTTCTCGAAATTTGTCTTTTATCCCGACGTTGGTCACCCTGTTTGTCACGTCGATTCTCGTCGCGCGGATGACCTCCACTTCGGCGGATGAACTGCTTGGGGTGTCCTTACCTGATGAGGTTCTCGATCTCCCTTTTGAGATCATTGCAGTCCTCAGTCTCGTGCCCTATATCTTGATGATATAGGCAGTAGAGGTTTGAGTTCCTCTTATCCCTGCTGTCGGACATCTTAGGAGGTGCCCTCTCGAGGTTGCTCTGTTCCATCACGGACAACACCCGGGATCTGGTGGTGTTCAAAGGAGTCAGCTCAGACTCAGGGATGGATGTCTTCCCTTTGGAAATCCTATCGAACACGCTGCGGCGGTCTCAGTTGGGACTTTGGAAGCCACTCCCCGTCCCTGCTTCACTTCGGCCAACATCTTTCCCCTTTCGAGGGTCAGCCCTTGGGTGGGTGGCTTGGACCTCCTTCTTCATGCGGTTGAGGTCTTCAGCTTGTATGCCCTTCTCAACCTTTAACCACAACTTGTGGAGAGTGCAAGGATATTTTTTGTGAATCCCCATGTTGAAC